TGTTCCGGAAATTTTCCAGATATTTACCGGTATCACTGTGTAAAAGGGGCTGTTGACTTTTGGGCAGTATTCTTCGTCCGCCCTTCCCCTTCCTCGCCATCCTCGAGTAACATGCCGTATCCATTAGCCCAATTTGTTACGGGACCTCGCAATTCACAAATTTAATACTAGAAGGCGGGGCTTCATTCGCCATATAGAGCTGTACCCTTTTCCTCATTCAAAACTGTAGGAGTGACACGTCTTGTGTATTCTATAGTCTTTGTTGAAGCTTAATGCATCACCATGGAAAGCAAAACAGAATAGAGAGTAACATGCTATAAAGTGTAATGTTATTAAAAAACAGCTGAGATGATCTAAATATACCAGTATCAAAGTTAAAGTCTGTAAATTCAAAATTTTCAATGTTTATTTTGCTGGCGCACATTGTTATTGTTGGATGAAGAATTAATCTTTGCAAGTTAATCCACTGGAAAAAAAAAAGATTTGTTTACGTAAACTTCAATCAGACTTTGATTTAATTTCTTCAGCATTTGCAGTGGCAAACCCAGGTTCATTATTGATATGTACCCCTGTATACATTTCTAGAGACCAATAGTTATGTTTTAAAGTCAAGCAACCTCTATCTGGCGCAAAAGTAATGACAGTGTCATATGTTGTCCAAATGCAGATATATTTAAATGTGATGTATGGACATTTCTTTTTCTAACTTGTTTTAGAACACAATTTACATTTGATACACATTTTATCAGTTTGTGTGTTCACTGGGATTGACTGTTACTGGCATGTTTTAATTAATCACTCTGCTCCTATAAACTGTGTGCCCTAACTGCATCACTAATGTTTTACTGCGTGTTTTTGGTAACTTCTGATAGTAGTTACAGATAGCAAATAAAGGTTTCTAAGCTGCTAGTAAATCCCTTTAAAAATGTTGTACAATGTTTTAAGGAAGTAAATTGAAAGAAACAGATAAGCAATGAATTTGTGTAAAACCTAATGATCATGTTCTCCAGCATAAATTGAGAATGATCCAGTGTTCATCGCCCAGAAAACAAGATCATCTGACTGTCTGTACACATGATCAATTTCACTCATTTCATGATTTTATTAGTGACCTAGAAATGAAAAATCTAAAATATGTCTGTTTCGTTTCATGTTGTAAACTTCAATATGTCAAACCTTTCTACAATTAAAAGGTAAGAAATATTTACATGGGGAAAAGTGTTTGGAATCAGAACAAGAATGCTAAACATAAATACTGAATCCCAGATTTAAGACCTAGCTCAAAGAATATCATGCAAGTGTAATACTGTGTGGTTTCCAAATTAACAAATTTGATTAGTTTTTTTCAGACAGTGCAATACCCAGAGCCTTTGTATTGATTGCTATAGTAATAGTAATGATGCAAACCTCTGCTCATATATTTCCACTTTAAAATTTTCAGTTCCTCAGATTTACTAAGTATATATTTAAGTAAAATTGAAAGTCTCATAACATTTTTCCAAATTTTGAATATATATATTTGATATAGCCATTTAGTAGATTCACCCACCCAAGAAAATTGCCATTGATTAAGATAACAAATTACATTAAAAAAAAGATATTTTACCCATAACTGACAATTCAGTAATTTATTCTCCCTTTACTTGTCGCAAACCTGTTTGAGGGATATTTTTTGGTATTCTGTTGAACACAAAATTTGTTATTAAAAAAAAAAAAAAAAAAAAAAAAAAAATATATATATATATATATATATATATATATATATATATATATATATATATATATATATATATAAATATATATATATCCTGAAAACTGTAAATTATTGACATCCATAGTATTTTGGATGAAGAATTCATTTAATTTCACAAGTAGCTATTCATCCGAGTAATGAAATGGCACTCTCATTTATGACCTTTTTTATGTGACTAACGTGGCATCAGCGATTACTGACTAATGCTGATCTCCAGGTGAGTGAATTGCTCAGGTGAGATTAAAAGAGAAAACCTGGAGAGACCTCAGCTTCACAGGGCTTTTTAAAGGGTTGCTAGGGACAGGAGCTTACAGACGCCCTGACATTTATCCTCAGCACCCCGCACACAATATTTTTTACAGCCAGACGCAGACACCTAATATTATGGCTGCCATTCATACAGCTTATTCATACAGTCCTCAATGTACTATATCAATAATAAAACAGCAAAAGCGATGTTAAGTGCTTTCACATAAACAAAGACATTTCTAGTTATTTAACTCTCTCAGAGGTTTCCAGAAGGAAATGAGATTGTCTGCTTAAACTGGCAAAACACATTTACATAAACCTAGCATTTTCATGTGGAACTTGCACAAAAAAAATATATTTGTATTTACTAAATTATTACAGTTAAGTTGAGTGGTTGCAAACATTTTATATGGGCTCAATTTAAACAAAAAAAATAATAAAATTTAGTAATGTTCAAATTCATTTGTTGTTTAACTTCAGCCCATATAAATTGTTTGCAACCACTTACCAGTAAATCCAATGAATACATTTGCTGGTTAATCCGTATAATGCTTTTAATAGAAAAATATGCTTTTAAAGAGCCAAACACATGTAAACCAAATAAAGAAGGCCAGAATGTCATGCACAACCACAAAATAACCTAAATAAAAATGTGCAATGGCAACTCAAATCTGCTTCTAGCCAACCGGTCAGCATAAATTGTTTCAGGAAGAACTCACCACAAAATTCAGTCTGATTTTCTGGAATTCCTGCCAAATTATGTGGAGTATAAACACAGGAGACTAGAGAGGACTGGACGAAGAGTGAAAGGCGCACTTAATGAAATGACCATGGCAGTGCATGGCAGAGCTTTGAGCTAACTTAGCTTTCATTCATCAGGTAATAAAGTTCAGAGTCTCTCCCATGGCCATCTGCTCTATCAGGGCCAGCTTTGTTCTTCAATCCTTCAGTCAGAAATTTGACTGGGACGAAGCTTTAACTAAATTAAATTACTTTATTCTGTGCATGAGGAATTTGGTGCTACTATGACAGCAAACACATAACATAAAAAAGTTTTGCTAACATTAGCATTCGTCTGTATTTTGTTTTTTATTTACCAAAAAATAATGTCCTAAGATTATGTTATTTTTAAAGATTTATTTTGGCATTTTGGCTATTTATGACAGGGCAGTAACTAGACAGGAAGCAAAGTTGGAGATAGAGAAGTGTGATAGAGGTCCACGAGCCGGGAATCAAACTTCGGATTCCTGAAACATAGCAGTGCTATTTGTCAAGGATGATATTTGAAAAAAAAATGTTTTTGCACCCACAACATAAACTAAAACTAACCAATACAGACATTCCCAGATATGTTTAGGTACAATTCAGTAGGAAAACGTTTCTTACAAATCTATTAGAAAAAGAAACCACAAGAGACCATGTTATTTTTGGATTTCTTGGTTTGCCATTGATGGGTGTGTGTTTTCACTTTTTTGAGCCTTTTTTGTAGAAAATACAACCCAGGCTCATTCTGAAAATGTACCGCTATCTCAATTCAATTCAATTCAATTCAGCTTTATTTGTATAGCGCTTTTACAATGTAGATTGTGTCAAAGCAGCTTCACATAAATGGTCATAGTAACTGGGTCAGGGTAGTTCAGTTTTTAGTGTTTAAGTTCAGTTCAGTTTAGATCAGTTCAGTGTGGTTTGAAAATCTACATGTCTGGAGAGTGCCAAATACAAGCTTTTCACTCATCATAGCACACATGCTGCTGATGATGTGACAATAAAAGTGATTTGATTTGACATCCCAGGAGCTACGTTTTTTTGCAGTTTTTGTTTTTGTAAATCCACCAGAGGCCACTGTGTACGCTTTTTGAGATCTCAAATTGCTCTCGCAAGTGCCATTCGTACGTAAATCCACCAGAGACCGCCGTCGATTGACTGAATGATTGACTGATTGATTGACTGACCCACCGTTCTCCTTGTCTGTACCCAACCAATAGTGTTTTCAAAAGTACCTATTGACCCACCTACCCCCTTTCCAAACCCAACTGACTCTTTTAAAATGTAATCGAGAAAAAGAAAAGCCCTTGTCTGATTTTTACCACGCTTTCGGATTTTACCACATTCTTTCCCTCTTATTCACGAGTTTGCTGGATTCGAACCCCATTGTCATGGTCAACTCTTCTCTGTGTATCAAGTCTGCTGATGTATACAGTGAGCTACTAGACAAACTGGTAACAGCAGGAAAGCTGTCCATATGGAGGTAAGCAGTCACAAAAAGGCTACATAATTAGTGATCTCTAAAAATGTATATAGGGCTCCGTTTTTAGAATAAGTCTGTGTTGCGAAAATGATAACAGGTCAATAAAACATTCCTTTTCATTATTTCTTTTTTAAGGTACCCTGTGAAATAATTATAGTTAAACGTCCTGTGAAATGAAAATAACATATTTCAGATGTTTTAGTTTTAAGGATATCTATAAGCTAGTGCGCATCAAAACAGTGACAAAATTCACATTTAGAATATAATAAACTGATATAAACATGTGAAGCTTGTATTTTTTTCACATCACCATACACTTCAGTTTCTTATCAAATCATGTCAAATCAAATGCTCTCTAGTGTCTGACATGCCCTGCCCCCTTCAAGACACTGCTCATTTGCTTTTCATTTGATGTGCTTGATCTCAACCACAGCAGAGCTGAGTTTTTTTTAAAAGGCGAGGAGCTACTCTGTGTCTCGTCCTCTTTTTATTTTTCAGTAGAGATTACGTCAAACATTGAATAAAAATGCAAATTTCAAAGCTTTTCTCGAGACCTTTAAGAGGTTAGGCAAATGTTCTGGGAATGTTATAAGAAAGGGAAATGTTCTAGAAAACTAAAACTAACATTCATAAAAAAATAAAGCAAGATGTTCTGTAACTAATCCATTAGGTGTACTCGTTCATCATTCTTGTCTTGAGAAATAGGGCATTGAATAATTTTCACATTGTTTATTGTAAAACAGATCTTACCTTTGCATGTGAAACATTTTATATGGAAGTGCTTGGACTGTACCCGGAGAACCTCTCCTTTGCATGGCTCCCCACATTTATAGCACTGGATGACCAGCTTTCCTGGAGGATGGTGTGGATCCTGAGGATGAGCCACTGTCAGGGAACAAAGTCATGTAAGTTAGTACAGCATATGGAAAAAAAGCTGCAAATACACTACAGTAAATAATTAACAATTTGATCATGGCACTGAAAAAGCCTTTGGCCACCAGTCTATTCTGATCACATTGAGCTAACTTAATTAAAAGCAGCTGATTCTGACTACATTCAACAAATATGTTGCATATGCTAATGCTAATGCAATTTCAAAGTGTCTGTTTTTTACACTCAGTAAACAGAGGTGAGTTGACCGATGACCTTCATGGCCAATCACAGTTTTTTCTGTTGAGCATGTGAACACAATGGCAAATCAGCATTGTTAAGGACCTACTCAACAGCGCTTACATGTTCGGGGGAAATGGATGTTTTTTTAATTTTCAGCATCGATTAGTCTCGAATTCCAGTATCGTGACAACCGTTAAACTCAAATAATGCAAATTTTTGGGACTTATTGTCAAAATCCCAAATAGAGTACTAAACCTACAAAAATAAATACAGATAGATTTAACTATTAAGTGTTACTCATACAGAAAACAACTAGCTGATTATAGCAAAGTTCATTTACGTACTCTTAGGCAACTCTTAAAAGTTACAGTGACAGAACGTCCTGTTTGCTTCCACCAACCAAATCTGGTCATGTAAAATTGAATTACTGTGATTTATAGTGCAATAAACCCTGAATGACACAGTGACAGACATCATGGAGACACTTCTCAGTATATATACTCTTGTGTTTCAAAGTCCTACATTTTTGAAACACCATGAGGAAGAATAAACGATGACAGATTAGTTTCAATTTACAGTTTATATAGTCCAACTTTTAGTTTATAAAGTACTTTTTGAGAAAGGAAATGGCAGAAACTACTGCAATTTCCCTAACTGACTTTCATTAAAAAGCAATAAATATACATGTAGATGCACACCTGACATCATGGCTGCCATCCATACAGCTTATTCATACAGTCCTTAATGTACTGAATTATTGCACATCAATCCAAAATGCAGAAACTGCTGTTTTTCATCAGTACACCAAGTGCTTTCATGCACGTAAACAAAGACACATCAAGATATTTAACTCTCTCTCTGAGGTTTTCAGACCTCCAGAAACAAACAAAAATGAGGTTGACCTGAGTTGCACAATGCTAACCACTAGCTAGAAGGTGTATTAATGGGCAAGTGTCCACATTTCAGGTGCAATCACACTGTGTGTTGGTGTTAGAGGAGTGTTAGTAGGTGTTTAGTAGGATCTTTTTTTTTCTTTTGAATTATCTGTAGGACACACAGTGGTTTTCACGGGCACATGGAGTGGTGCTCTCACAAGTCACGCTGTTGTTTACAGTACATATCTGTACAGCTCATCATAAGTGTCAGTACAGTTGCATAACAAAGGTCATGAGTCATTTGTGCTTTAACATTTACTAACTTTTGACACTGTAGCCTCTGGACAACACTGCATAAAGAGTAAAATTACTCTACTGATACTGAGTGAAAGATTCAAGCCAATCATACTGGAGTAAAAGTATAAAGTTGAGTATAGTAATAAAAAAAGAGAAGTAATCCAGCAAAAACAATAGAAGATGCATTAATTAACAGTTTCCTCTACTTTTGTAGTTTAGTTTGTTTGTTTTTGTTTTGCTTATTTAGTTGTTCAAAATGCATTTATGGTACCTTGACTTCTTCTAGGACAGTGGTTCCCAACCTGGGGTCCGCGCCCCCCTAAGGGGGGCGCCAGAGTTCACAGGGGGGGGCGCGGGAGAGGATAAGTGTTGAGGTAGAAAAAGGCATAAAAATGCTCCACTATTATAAAGGGCTTTGCAATTAATCGACAATCCGATTTAGATTTCGGTTTCAAACGATTATAAAAAAGCATTAATCGAGATAAATGATTATTGCATCATATTTCGCCACAGTTGTACACGTGTTGGACTTAAAAGCGCGAAAGAGCTTATGTGTGTGTGCAGCACGATCACGCAGTCAGAAGCATGCGGCCGCTCAGCATTCACTCTCATTCGCACACTGAGACGAGCAGAGGAGCGCAGACATCTGAAGTCATCTTAACGTGAACGCTTTAATGGTCAAATAGGTGTCAAAACGCGGTGTTTAGTGATTATTTACATTAACCCTCATTTGTGTAATAAACAAATGAGTTGAGAATCAAAAGACGTGAAAGAGAAACCATTAAAGATACAGCGCGCTATAATCCTTCTGCCGCCTGTTTTTATTATTATTAAACAAACATAACGAGAAAACCCTCGCTGCTCTTGACTGAAGGACTGCTGTAGCTAAAGTGTTTTTCTTACAGTGAAGATGCTTAAAGCACAGTTTGTTTCATATTTTTATTCTATTGTATTAATTTCTCTTTCCATTGCAGGGTGGAAAATAACTGTATGTATACAGTTGAAGTCAGAATTATTAGCCCTTTTTGAAAATTAGCAAACCTTTTCCTGCCCAATTTCTGTTTCATGGAAAGAATATTTTATTAACTTATTTCTTATCATAATAGTTTTGATATCTCATTTCTAATTACTGATTTCTTTTTGTCTTTGCTATAATGACAGCACATAATATTTTACTAGTTATTTTTCAAAATACAAACATTCAGATTAAAGTGCAGTTCAAAGGCTTAATTAGAGTAATAAGGCAAGTCATTATAACGGTAGTTTCTTCTGCAGACAATCAAAAATATATATTGCTTAAGGGGGCTAATAATATTGACCTTAAATTGGTTTTAAAATATTTAAACCTGTCTTTATTCTAGCTAAAATAAAACAAATAGAAGAAAAAATATTATAGGAAATATTGTTAAAATTCCTTGCTCTGTTAAACATAATTTGGGAAATATTTATAAAAAAAAAAAAATCTCAGGAGCGCTAATAATTTTGACTTTAACTGGCAATGGTTTTGAATAATCGTGATTACAATTATGACCAAAATAATCGCGATTATGATTTTTCCCAAAATCGAGCAGCCCAAAAAATAAAAAATAATCTAAACACATGCTTAAAATTCCAACATAATAGTGAAAATAATTAAAATAAATAACTTTAAATAATTATTTAAATTTTGCTCACTCGGGAAATCTGCTTGTCAACGTGTCGTAAAGGCAAAATCAAAACAAAAATGGCAGACAAACGTAAATGCTGTGATTCTTCAGAGGCGAAGAAAAAGATTAGACAGTATGACAAAGCCTACCTAATTTTTGGTTTCATTGAAGGCCAAGACAAGTTAAAACTGATTAATTAATATTTTCTATACATATTACTATATATTAATATTACACAAACACACACACACATATATATATATATATATATATATATATACACACAGTACATATGTGTGTGCGTGCGTGCGTGTGTATTTATATGGTGGGGGGGCTCCAGTGTTTGTATATGTTTATGGGGGGGGCCCCAAAGAAAAAAGGTTGGGAACCACTGTTCTAGGACATCTTATGGTTAAGTAAAAAAATGGATCTATTCCCACAAAAAACAAAATAAAATATAATAGTAATTTATAATAAATGCGCAAGTGTTTTTGGACTATATATAATGAAATGTTTTATACTGTATGTATGAAAGAGTTCAAACAATCTGTTAGTGAATGCTACAGTATATTGTAGTATAAACTATAGAGATCTGAAAAACCATAATAAATACCTTTAGTTTTTACTACAGTCAACAGTCTAGTAATGTAGTATAATGTATATGGACAACCAAAAACATCACAAAATACAGCAGATTGTTTGTTTATGTATAATGTTACATATAAACATGCAAATATTTATAAATATAAATGCTTATATTATTTTTTATAGTGGGAAAATTCTTTTTTTCAGAAATATAATCAAGTAAAAGTTTCAATTTAAAATGTAATTAAGTTGGCGTTTCTGTGTGGAGTTTGCATGTTCTCCCTGCATTTGCGTGGATTTCCTCCGGGTGCTCCGGTTTTCCCCACAGGTGAATTGGGTAGGCTAAATTGTCCATAGTGTATAAGTGTGTGTGTGTGGATGTTTCCCAGAGATAGGTTGCGGCTGGAAGGGCATCCGCTGCAAAAAAAAAAAAGGTGCTGGATAAGTTGGCGACCCCAGATTAATAAAGGGACTAAGCCGACAAGAAAATGAATGAATGAATGAATAATTTTCAACCACACCAAAATAACACCAGTCGAGTAAAATTGCTCATTTATTCATTCATTCATTTTGCTTCAGCGGAATGAGCTGCCAACTTATCCAGCATCTGTTTTACGTAGCATGTTTTACGTAGCAAACACATTCATTTGCAAATTTAGCCACTAACCACTGAGCCACCATGTTGCCCATGAATTATTCACTTAAACATATTTCTTTCTTTTCTTTTCTTTTCATTTCTTTTTTGGGTGCACTTGTCCTTTAAAACATAATCGCCACTATAAAACATTCTTTGAAAATGAAGTATACTCTTTAGTAGCCTATAATCTTGATAATTATACAACCTGAAAGAAAAGCAGCAATTCCACAGACAGAAATAATGAACTGAATCTCACAATACTGCAGTTGGTTTCTCTGTACATGTGCTGTGTTTCACTTCAGGCCTCAGTGGACATGTTTTGATCAAGGTCATCAGGCCAAGATTTTGACAACTTCAAACCACTGTTAACTTAAACAATGAGTGGCTTCTCATTAGCGTGACTACAAACCTTTCTTCTTACTCATACTCTTCCTTATTTCAACATTTACTACTACTCTCACAATCACAGGACTCTCCTTCTCTCCAGAATGGCACCTTTCCACTTCATATCTCTCTTTGTTTCTATTGGAGAGCAAACGCATGCCTCTCTAATCTAATCGGTGGACACTTGAAAGGTTGTGCAAGATTAACAGGAAAGAATCTCCCTCCACCGTCACTTGCCGGTGCTTATCAGGCCATGTGCTTACATAATACTGACATCCAAAAGGAGCTCCACTAAAGCACACATTTTTTGTGTTTTGAGATGTGCCACCTGGGCAAACTATGTATTAA